TACACACACATACTCTATATATCATATATATACATACATGTGTGCATATATGTTTGATATATGGTATGTACACATATATATGCACACACATACACACACATATATTTCATACATACATATATATGCACACATATACTTTATATATATTATATATGCATACATACACATATGCATCATACATATATGTGCACAGGCATATACACACATCATACATATATATCATATATACATATAAACACACATACTGTATATATCATATATATGCATATGGGTGCAATTTGGGAGTCCTCTTGGATTCATCGCTTACGCTTGTGGCTCAGGTGTCGGCGGTGTCCGGGAGGACTTTTGCACAGTTGAGATTCATGCGCCAACTGCGACCGTATCTCGCAAAGGCTGATCTGGCCGGGGTGGTCCATGCCTTGGTCACCTGCAGATTGGACTACTGTAATGCGCTCTACGTGGGGCTGCCCTTGAAAATGGCTCGGAAATTCCAACGGGTCTAACGGGTAGCGGCCAGGATGTTAACTGGTGCTCCTTACAGAGAGAGGTCAACCCTTCTGTTCAAGGAGCTCCACTGGCTGCCGTTTATTTTCCCAGCCCAATTTAAGGTGCAGGTGCTTACCTACAAAGCCCTAAACGGTTTGGGACCATCCTACCTGCGTGACCGAATCTCCGTTTATGAACCCACGTGCTCACTTCATTCACCCGGAGAGGCCCTGCTCGTGATTCCGCCTGCGTCGCAGGCGCGTTTGGTGGGGAAGCGGGACAGGGCCTTTTCTGTGGTGGCCCCCCGACTCTGGAACACCCTCCCCAAAGATCTTAGACAAGCCCCTACATTGGCAGTCTTCAGAAAGAACTTGAAGACCTTGCTGTTCCGATGTGCCTTTCCAGAATAGGAAAACTCCAATAACAAGTCCCAGAAGCACTTTATTAGAATTAAGATTGTTAAACACTGCACACTGCACTTACCCTATAATCCTTACATATCACCTGTCACACCAGCACTTTTTAATTCTGTACCCATTACTCTGGCTCGGCCCAGTTTTATTGTGTCTTGGTGTATTGTTTATTGCCTGTTGTTTAATATTGCTTTAATTGTTTTTAATTTGCTTTAGGTGTTGTATTGTTATGTTGTGTTTTGAGGCCTTGGCCTTTGTAAGCCACATCGAGTCCTTCGGGAGATGCTAGCGGGGTACAAATAAAGTTAAATAAATATATATATATATATATATACACGCACACATACAAACACATATCACACACACATATATGCACATACATATATACACACATATACATCAGACAGACATATGCATATATCATACACACACGGATATATGCACACATACTTTATATATCATACTAGCTGTCCCCTGCCACGCGTTGCTGTGGCCCAGTCTGGTGATCTGGAAATGAAGTAATGAGAATGTGTTGGTTTCTAATATATGTAATGTCTTTATGCTTGAGGGTAAACAGTATTTCTTGTTGTTTCTTTGCCAGTGTTGATGTGGAGATTGTCTGGTGTGCCTACTCTGGAACATGTAACATATTATTGTCCTTCTTTAGGGGTCCCTTTGAAATCTTTGATACTGCATCTGTCATATACATATATGTGTGTGTGTGAATGGCTGGATGGCCCTTTGTCAGGAGGGCTTTGTTTTGTTGCCCTGGTGAAGGGAGTTGGACTGGATGGCCTTAAGGCAGCATTTCTCAACCTGGGAAGTCAATACACCAAGGGGGGTGTCAGAAGGGTCAATAAAGACCACCAGGAAACACAGTATTTCCTGTTGGTCATGGGGGTTTTGTGTGGGATGTTTGGCCCAATTCCATCGCTGGTGACGTTTGGAATGCTCCTTGATTGTAGGTGAACTATAAATCCCAGCAACTTCAAATGCCAAGGTATATTTTAACCAAACTCCATCTGTGTTTATATTTGGGCATATTGAATATTCATGCCAAATTTGGTCCAGATCCATCATTGTTTGAGTCCACAGTGCTCTCTGGATATAGGTGAACTACAACTCCCAAACTCAAGGTCAATGCCCTCCAAACCTTTCCAGTATTTTCTGTTGGTCATGGGAGTTCTGTGTGCCAAGTTTGGTTCAATTCCACCGTTGGTGGAGTTCAGAATGCTCTTTTGATTGTAGGTGAGCTATAAATCCCAGCAATTACAACTCCCAAATGACAAAATCATAATTTTTGATTGATGGTCACTCCTTGTGTAGTGAGACATTTTGTTGCCAAATTTGGTGAGATTTCGCTCATTGGTTCTTTTGTTTTTAAGGTACTCATTATTCACAGAGCATTTATATATATATATAGGTATATAGGTTCTTGTGGGTTTTTTCGGGCTATAGGGCCTATACGGTTCCGGCCCAGTGTATCTGTCCGAACGGATCTCCCTCTACGTCCCACCTCGAAACCTAAGATCCTCTGGGGAGGCCCTGCTCTCGACCCCGCCTCTATCACAAGTGAGAGTGGCGGGGACGAGGAGCAGGGCCTTCTCGGTGGTGGCCTCCCACCTGTGGAATTCACTCCCCGGGGAGATTAGATCGGCAACGTCCCTTCTTTCATTTAGGAAAAAGTTGAAAACCTGGATATGGGACCTGGCATTTGGACATTCTGGCAGCTAAAGAAAGACTTGATGACGAGCTGGAATTTGACGAGACGGAATGGATTTACGGAACTCCAAACGCTGAGCTCAGGATTAGCCTACTACTGTGTTATTGTACTGTTTTGTATTGATGATTTTAATTTTTAATTTGTAACTGTTTAATTGCTTTTATATATGTATGTATATGTGACAAAGGCATCGAATTGTGCCTTCCTCTGTAAGCCGCCCTGAGTCCCCCCTTGGGGGTGAGAAGGGCGGGGTAAAAGTGACGGAAATAAATAAATAAATGTTCTAGAGGCATTTCTCCTGACGTTTCGCCTGCATCTATGGCAAGCATCCTCAGAGGTAGTGAGGTCTGTTGGAATTAGGACAATGGGTTTATATATCTGTGGAATGGCTGGGGTGGGGCAAAAAGCTCTTCTCTGCTGGAGCTAGGTGTGAATCTTTCAACTGACCACTTTCATTAGTATTTGAAGGCCTGGCTGAGCCTGGGAAAATCTTTTGTTGAGAGGTGTTAAGATGTGCCTGGTAGATATATACATACACATACACATGCAAACATATATATCATACATACAGATATGCGCAGATATCTCTACGTGGGGTTGCCTTTGAAGACGGCTCGGAAGCTCCAACTAGTCCAGCGTTCGGCAGCCGTGATACTAACAGGAGCGGAGCGCAGGGAGCATACAACTCTTTTGCTGCACCAGCTCCACTGGCTGCCGATTTGCTACCGGGCTCAATTCAAAGTGCTGGCGTTGGCCTATAAAGCCCTAAACCAGCGGTCCCCAAACTAAGGCCCGGGGGGCGGATGCGGCCCTCCAAGGTCATTTACCCGGCCCTCACTCAGGCACACAACAACAACAACAACAACAATCCTATCTCATCAGCCAAAAGTTTATATTTGTTAAAATTGTTCTTCATTTTAATTATGGTATTGTTTTTTTAAGTGTTTTTTTACACTACAAATATGTGCAGTGTGCATAGAAATTCATTCATGTGTTTTTCAAATTATAATCCGGCCCTCCAACAGTTTGCGGGACCGTGACCTGGCCCTCTGTTTAAAAAGTTTGTGGACCCCTGCCCTAAACGGTTCTGGCCCAAGTTACCTATCCGAACGTATCTCTGCCTATGAACCCACCAGGACTTGAAGATCTTCTGGGGAGGCCCTGCTCTCGATCCCGCCTGCATCACAGGCACGGCTGGCGGGGACGAGGGACAGGGCCTTCTCTGTGGTGGCCCCTCGACTGTGGAACGCCCTTCCCATGGACATTAGATCAGCCCCTTCGCTAATGGTGTTTCGAAGAAAACTAAAAACCTGGCTGTTTGACCAGGCGTTTGGATAAATAGTGCAATGAACTCGATGAATATAGGAAAAGGAATTATGGATGACGAATTGGATCACGATTTTAGTTACGAGACGTTAATGTGTTGTTACTGAGATGTCATTAGTTTGTATTTTATACTGTTCATGGTTTTAATATTGTATGTTGTTGGATTGTCTTTTGCTCTTGTTGTGAACCGCGTTGAGTCGCCTACGGGCTGAGAAACTGCGGTATACAAGCAAAGTAAATAAATAAATAAATAAATATTATATTTACTTACACACACATATATATCATACATACACACACACACCCTATATATAATACACTATACAATGCATACTATAACAATTACAATCAAGACATTCAAGTCCCTTCCTGGCTGAGAGGCTGGGCAGGCCCCTCCCTCCCCGAAAGCAGGCCCCAACCTGGAAGGAAGGGAAGCCCTTTCTGAGAAGGAGGCAGCTTCCCTCCGCCAGCCCTACAACCACTCACCAGGGGCGCATGGCGAAAGAAGGGAGCCCGCCGGTTCCTGCGGGAAAGAGGCGGAGAAGAGGGCCGCCGACTCCGGTTCGGGGCCAGCGGAGGGATGGAAGGCGCTCTGTCAACACCGCTGCTGGACCACAGCGGCAGGCCTCGCCGTCGCCATAGCAACCGACTAGGCCCACGCCCTCTTTGACTACTTTAGCCTTCACCCACCAAACAGCAGCAGACCCCCCTCAGTTTTGGCGCCTCTGGCTGCCTCCTCTGCTCTCTCCAACTCCGCCCCGCCCAGCGCCGCCTCCACCCGGAAGCACGCCTCGGCCTGCTCTCGCCCAGCCAATCATGGTCCTCCTCAGGGCCGGAAGATTAGGCGGGAGCGGGATGGGCGGTCCCTGCCGACCGTTGCTACGGTGATTCCAAAGAGGGAGGGGTGAGAGCAAGAGAGAGCGAGCAGCGTCGAGGAAACTTGCCCTCACCAGACATGGCAACAGCGACCTCTAGAGCGCGCCTGAGTAACTCGACGCGCGATTGGCAAACGGGCTAGTAAAGGGGAAGGCGATTGGTGGAGGCGGCCCTGAGGGCGGGACCGAGGGAAACGAGGCAGGCGAGGAAGCGAGAGAGCCGCGTTGGGAGTCGGCAGAGGAGAAGAGCCTCCGCGTTGTTTGCTCGCAGTCTCACCTGAGGTGAAGAACAAACAGGTGAGAGGGTTTATTTAATTTTGGGGGTGCGGGGGAAGGTTTTGTTGGGGAACACACCCTTTATCTTATAGTTATGCGGGAATGTATGGGGTGGTTGGTCTGAGGGGGCTTCCTAGGCCCCCCATTTGGGTGGGTCTCAGTGAGGAAGGGGAAAATGCGCAGATTGCAATACCTCATGATCATCCATTCATTCACTATTCAAGGCTTCATATCTTAATATTGGGTTTATCCCCTATTTGATAGTGATTTCTATATGTTAATGGGCAATATATGTATTAATTATTGCATTATTTCATTGAAAATGCCATTTAGTACTCATTCCTGTGGGTTCATGGGCAGTATATAGTCTTTATTCCATTTTTTCAGTGTGTCAGGTCTTAATATTTCATCGGCATTGCTATTTAGTACCCATTTCCATAGGTTCATGGGCAGTATATAATGTTTATTCCATTTTTTCAATGTGTCAGGTCTTAATATTTCATTGACATTGCTATTTAGTACCCATTTCCATAGGTTCATGGGCAGTATATAGTGTTTATTCCAATTTTTCAGTGTGTTAGATCTTAATATTTCATTGACATTGCTATTTAGTACCCATTTCCATAGGTTCATGGGTAGTATATAGTGTTTATTCCATTTTTCAGTGTGTCAGGTCGTAATATTACATCAACATTACTCTTTAGTACTCATTCCCATAAGTTCATGGGCAATATATAATGTTTATTCCATTTTTTCAATGTGTTAGGTCTTAATATTTCATTGACATTGCTATTTAGTACCCATTTCCATAGGTTCATGGGTAGTATATAGTGTTTATTCCATTTTTCAGTGTGTCAGGTCTTAATATTTCATCGACATTGCTATTTAGTACTCATTCACTTAAGTTCATGGGCACTATATAGTGTTTATTCCATTTTTTCAGTGTGTCAGGTCTTAATATCTCATTGACATTGCTATTTAGTATTCATTCCCATACATTCATGTGCAATATATAGTGTTTATTCCATTTTTTTTCCAGTTTGTGCTCTCTTAATATTTTCATCAACATTGTTATTCAATATTTGTTCAAGGGCAATCTATAGTATTTTATTCCATTTTTTAAAAATGTGTAAGGTCTTAATATTTCATAGCCATTGCAATCTGGCCCCAGGTTTTAAGGGGCCCTTTGCCATTCATCCCCACGTATCCCTCCATTCTCTTGGTGGCTAATGTCATGTTCAAAATGGTCTGTATTTCATATTTTAATGTGTGATGTCTTCATATTGAATAGGCATTTCAGTCTGGCAACAGATTTTAAAAGGCTGTTCAACATTTCATCCTTCATCCTCCTTTTTTCCTCTCCCCCCCCCCCCAAATTTCTCTTGGTGGGTGATGTTATAGTTGAAATGTTTTTATAAAAAATCGGGGGATTTGGGGATGAGAACTAGGGTTCCAGTTCTCTGTTTATTTCTCTGGGGTTCATCTATGGAACATTCCCTGGAGGCTAGGAAGATGCTGCAATGCTGCCTCGGCAACAACTATGCAGGATTATTTCCTGGAAAGAGCCAGCGCCTGGAAGCTTCCTCTGGCCAAAAATCCATTGAATTCCAATTGAGAGATGAGAAGGAGAGGTGATTTGAGCATCCTTTGGATCTGGTCTGCGCCGACTGGCTTCTTCGCAGTGCGATTCTGCCTTTAAAAGCAGGATCCAACCCTGCTTTTGCTCAGAGGAAAGCCATCAGCGATATGCATGCTCTATAGCAAAAGTGAATGAGAACAGATTTGTGTGTGTGCATATGCAGCAGGGACAGAAAAGCAAACTGGCGATTGAGGCAGGCGTTGAAGGAACCAGGCACACTGTTTGACCTTCCTCAGTTGAGCAATTGGTGTGTTAGCAAAGTGCGTAGTAGTTTTTCTGTCTCATCACGGATGAAGATGCGGAGGAGTCTGGAACGGCGACCATCAACTTCCAAGAACTGAACACAGCGTGGCTCCTTGGCGAAGGCTGTTCTCAATGCATCTCATCCACTGTACAGCCCTGACCTGGTTCCGTGCAATTGCTTTCCTTTCCCAAGCTTCAAACCCACCTTAAAAGGCATCATATTGGGATAACTGAAAATGTCCAGTCAGCTGCGATGAAGGCTTTGAACAACATCTCGAGTAAAGACTTCCTCCACTGCTATGAAAGCGGGCAGCAGTGCTGGAATTGCTGTATTCGATCACAAGGAGCCTATTTTGAAAGGGATGAGCTGTAATTGCATGTATGTTCAATAAAAAATTGTAAATACGTTCTCATTAATTTGAGGAGAGACCATGTATTTTGAAAGATTTGGAAAGTCTTGTCTTTTTCCAGAGAAAATATAGAGCTGGGTTCTGATCCTCAGTAGATGAGCATGAATACAGGTTTGGTTGGGGAAGTAGGATTACATTTAATATGACTTTAAGTACTCCAAAAGCACCAGATTCTGTCTGATCTTGTAAGCTGCACAGGATCAGTCATGGTTAGTCCTTGAATGGAGGCTGCCAATGAATCCTAGGCGCAGAAGAGTATATTTCAGAAGCAGGAATTGACAAAACCATCTCTGAGTCTTCTTTTCCTAAGAAAATCCTCAGAAATGGAGTTGCCATAAGTCAACAGGTAACTCAAAGGCACATATGCACAAACACAAAACCATCACAAGGATGACTATTGTAAATTATTATAGATTTCTCTTTTTAGAATATTTTCTCTTTGAGATGCTCTTTGTTTCTTCATTCTTTTCCCATTTTGTGTGTGTGCTTATTTTGTTGTATGTAGCAAGTCTCAAAAATATTCCAGAAAATAAAAAGTGCAGGATTGCAGGTGTAAGGTGTTCACATTCATCTTGCAAACAGAATGGAATCAGGTTCTTGTCTGTGATTCCCGTGTCCATGGTCTTGAATTCTGCACTGCTATTCCTAACCGGGATGGCAAGTTCTCTTCAGTGGTAGCCCCACAGGTCTACACTTCTGTCTCTCAAAACCCTCTGCCTACCCCAACTCTCTTGTTCCTTTTGATCCCTTCCCACATACTGTATATCCTTTTAAAACAATCACAGCATTTTGTCTGTCTTAGGTTTGCCTCTATATATCATTAGTAGGTTGGAGCGCTTGGTCTTGGGTTCTTGTTTTTTATTTTTAAAATCCTGTTGTAAGCTATCTTGTGATGGCTTAGATCTTAAAATATGTAGTGTGACTATATTAAACAACTAAAATCTGCATGACAAGGTGATAATGAGGATGAAAGGGGGGAAGAAAGGGTGTGAATATAACAGATCTTTTTAAAGACAAGTTGGAGTACGATGTGTGTTTAAAACAACACTGTTGTAAATCACTTTACCTTAGCCTTTATGAAGCCTGTTCTTCTTTCTCACTTTTCAATCTACAACAAAATGATATTGATAGTGAATTATGATTAGAAATGCCACTTATCAGTCATCAGTCCCCTCAATGTATGAAGATTTTGAAGAATCCATCTTTTTGTATTCACTTTTTTCATGTCAGGGGCGACTTTAGAAACTGCAATTCGCTTCTGCTGTGAGAGAATTAGCCTGGAGGGGGACGCCTGGATGTTTTGATGTTTTACCATCCTTGTGGGAAGTTTCTCATGTCCCTGTGTGGGGAGCTGGAGCTGACAAAGGGAGCTCATCGCTTTCCCTGGATTCGAACCTCCCACCTGTTGGTCTTCAGTTCTGCTGACACAGGGGTTTAACCCATTGCGTCACTGGGAGCTCCTTTGTATTTGCTAAAACCATGAGATTCTGTAATTCTACCATGGGGAAAATGAATATACTAATAAAAAAAAACCCTCACCATATGCACAAGTGATTCAATAGCTTTTAAAATGCCAGAACTTTGTGTGTGTGTGTGCAGGAGCAGGAAACAAAGCTACATGTTTAGTTACATAAGGAGCCAGATCCACATGTCACTTGCGTGTTTGCTCTAATGTGGATCTGTTAGACATACCTTTCATTATTAGTGCCCAGACTGTTGTGAACTGACATCCAGATCTTTAAAAATGCATCATATCTCTATTTGTGGAGACCCATACATTTGAAGATGCTGCTGTACTTCCTGTCCAAATGAGATAGGTATAGTTCAGAAATGTAATTGCTTAAATGATTATCTCTGAATAAGTAACGGAATTAAAATATTGCGAAAAATGCTAAATTTCTATTAGCTATCAAATTCTGTTTGTTAATTAAATTCAAAAAAAATTAGTGTAAGACAGAAACAGAGAGCCGTTCATCCTCAAGGTGTTTTGAACTGTAATTCCCTGTCCTGGGCCATTGGCCAGATTGGCTAGGCTATCTGTAAGATGCAATCCAAATATCAGGAAGCTATACTTTAAATATAATGGATTCACGTTTTTCCTTCAATTCATTTGAACTAATTTCAGAACAAGGGAAGAATTGGCCCATATTTCAGAATAAAAATGAATCAAACCACAAAGTTCATTTCTGCTTCCTAGGAAGAAGCTGTTGCTGTTGAGAGCACTTGTTATGTTTATCCTGAGAAAAGACATTTTAAAGGGGATGGACTGGAGGGGTGTCTTTAAATATCTGAAGGGTTGTTATGAGGAAGATGGGGTGAGTTCGTTTCCTGCATCAGAAGCTAGTAGCTAGACTGCTAGATTCAGTTTACAAGAAAAGGGATTCTGAGTAAACTGAGAGAATTTTGTAATTCAGAAATGAGAGAGGCTGTTTTGTAGGGTAGTGGCTTCTCCATAGATCGAAGGTTTGAAACAGAGATTGCAGTTAGCCCACAATTGGTTCTGTATGCTTGCCAGGAATGCTTCAGCTGTGGTCCTATCCTGGTTGCGGAGCAGGCTAGATGACCTTTGGGGTTTCTTCCAGCTCAACAGTTCAGTGATTCTGTTCAGGAAGACTAGCTCGAATGAACCTACGTTTCTCTCTTTGCTTTGGGCAGGGCTTGAGGCTGTAATGATGCTGCCAAGTCACTGCAGTGGTAGTCTGGGTTTATGCCTCCCATGAACAGATGTCATGATTACCACTTTAACAGTTAATCTGTTAGTTGTTAATATGCCATGAAACTCTGTGTTCTTTCCTATTCAATGAGACACAACCAAGCCATCAAAATAACCAGAAAATCTGGGCAGCATAAGAAAGGAATGAACACCCACGCCCATGGGCTGGGTTTTTTTTGGGGGGGGGGGGTGAGGGGAGAGGAGAGGAAGATGTGGTAGTGGGTAAAGTCTTGTAGCATTTTAAATCTAGCACTTCTTTTTTCCTATTCTCTGTTTGCTAAAATTACTACATTTTAGAATGTTTTGTTGGAGAGAGTTTTCAAATGTTAGCACTACAAAGACCCCTTTCCATAATCCTCTATTTGTGAAACCTACTGCAGAGCCCTTTATGCATCAGACATATTTTTACAGCCTGGTCTGAGGCAGGATTAAGGAGAAAGTAGATCAGGGTCTTTTGCTGAATTCCTGGATGCTCTGCAGTCACCAGCAAGCGTTTCTGATTCCCTGTTGTCTAGCAATAGCATAAGCTAGAAATGAATTTTGTATGAAAGCACTTGTAAGCTTGGTTCTGCTGCAGAACACAGAATTGCTATCCTGAATGTCAGAGTGCATAAAGCCTCCAGAAGTTGCTTGACTGTGTATCCCATGAGCCCTAAGCAACATGGGCAACAGTGATTTTTTTTCATGTCAGGAGTGACTTGAGACTCGTCGCTTCTGGTGTGAGGGAATTGGCCGTCTGCAAGGACGTTGCCCAGGGGACACCCAGATGTTTTGCCATCCTTGTGGGAGGCTTCTCTCATGTCCCCTCGTGGGGAGTCGGAGCTGACAGGGGGAGCTCATCCGCGCTCTCCCCGGATTCGAACCTCCGACCTGTTGGTCTTCAGTCCTGCCGGCACAAGGGTTAACCCATTGCGCCACCAAGGGGTCCAGTTATCATAATAATAGAAATAGACACCCCCTCATGACCCCTCCAAGGGTCCCGACCCCCAGGTAGAAAAACACATAGAAGATGAGAAATCTGAGAAAACAGACTTTGGGTTCTAGCCCTTTTTTCAAACCTACATTAAATATGTTGCTGTTATTGTGTGTCTTCAAGCCTTTTGTTTGGCAAGATTTGTTCAGAAGGGTTTTCCTCCCTGTCCTTTGCAGCTGATGAGCGTGACTTGCCTAAGGTCACCCAGTGGGTTTCCATGGCCGAGCGTGCTTCAAACTCTGGTCTCCAGTTATAGTCCAACCCTCAAACACTGCACCATGCTGGCTCTCGTACAGCATGAAATATAAATGATGTTTAATAATTCTAGGCAGTAGCACCATATTTCTGTCTGCTCTACCCAATAAACAGAGCTTGATAAATATTTCATTGGCAGATGTAAGAGCAACATCCAGATATTTTAGACTGTTCTGCAGAAAGATTGGGGGGGGGACACACCAAGAGCCCAGTTTTTATAAAATGAACATTCCTGTCTTTGCCATTAACACTGAATCCTTTTATGCAGAAACATGACTCGTGTAGTGTTGTCAAGACAGATGACCTGTTTGTATGATAAGATTTCTGGTTTATATTTACAGATTAAATTGGTATCATGGCCTCCAGCGCAGGAATTGTACCTGAGGATGGTGAAAGCAGCAAGAATGCTACACTGGAAAGGTGCTTGAATGTATTTAGAGATGCAAGCAATGATAGTGAACAATTTGCTGCTCTGCTTCTGGTAAGATTCTGGCCCTATAGTTTCTAAAAAGATCACCTTTTACTTGGTTTCCACATTTGCCCCTAGTATTAATGCTTGTCCAGCTGTTCATTGGTTTTGGTTGATTGCCTACATAATATTGGCCTCTTTACCGTAAAATAGAAGTAATAGTTTTTTAACTATTCAAGTGCTTGAGATATTACTTCTTGCTGCAATCTGGAGACACCAGTTGAGTGACAGCACTCATTCTTGTCTTTCAAACTGAAGATGGGCACATCTATTAAGCAGGGAAAGAGCAATGCCAGCTGGGCTAATGCCATGTTTGAAGAGCCCAAGAAGCCTTCCAGAGGGGGAGGAGGGCAAAATCCTCATAAACAAGTCATCTTCAGTTGAAAGGAGGAGATTCTAGTCCACTTAGTAGCCCAGCAAAGCCATTACCAAAACCTTCTTTTGCTCTCCTGTGTGTCTTTCAGGTGACCAAAGCGGTAAAGGCTGGAGAAATCAACTCCAAAGCCCGTCGGAGGATCTTTGACGCCATTGGCTTCACCTTCCCAAACCGGCTTTTAACTTCCAAGGATGCCCCCGAGGGCTGCCCCCAGCACACTTTCCAGGCTCTTGGCCTCACCCTGCTGGCCTGTTTCTGCACCGACCCTGATTTGGCCAGGCACCCCCAGATCCTCAATAAGGTCCCCATCTTCAATGATGTGATTTCATCCGACAGCCCCGAAGATGCTTCCTGCAATTCCATGATTGACGACACTTACCAGTGTCTGAGAGCAATTGTGACCACTCCCAAGGGTCCCAGAGAGTTGGTGAACAGGGGAACTCTCACAGCATTGTGTGTGGCCTACGTCAACCATGGCTATGGCTACGAACAGGCCCTTCAGCTTCTTCTGGGGCTTCTGACGGCGGTGGAAGCCAAGTGCTGGCAGAGGGCCACACTTGACCTCATGACTGTTCTTAACAAGCTCAGTATGGAGTTCCAGAAGGCTGAAGACATGACCAAGTTCCAGATGTGTGAAGTGCTGCCCCGCTTCGTACCTCCTATCCTCCCGCCCACTTCCGAATGCCTCCAGCCCCTCTACCGGGGCCTGTCCAGCATCCTGACCAGCAAGCTGAGCCCTTCCCAGAGGGACCCGGCCTTGAAGCTAGCAGCCTGCCTGTCTCAAGCCTGTGGCTCCAGATGGATTCCGGCAGGAAGTGCCGGCAGCAAGTTCTTTGCCTTGTTGGCCAACTTGGCCTGTGTGGAAGTCCGCATGACCCTGGAGGAGCTGGACCTGTCCCAGGTGGACAAGAAGCAGGAGCTGATGGCCGCTTGCTATGTCCTGATGGAGCTCGCGATTGCAGAATGCACCAGGGAGAAGGGGTCTCTGCTGCAGAATACCCAGAAAGTGCAGTTGGTGATGATCCTGGAGGAGGCCTTCCGAGCTGTCATCCATTACCTGAGACAGGTAGAGCAGCTTATTCCCCATCAAGTATTGGGCTTGAAGCTTTGAAGCTGTGCTAGATTTGCAGGATACATCTGGTGTTCAAGTGAGGGAATTATTGTAGGCAAGAGGAATCTGGCATCAGCACATAGGTATAGAATCTGTGAAAGGGCAAAGAGCAGAAAAGGGGATGGGAGAAATTGAAAGTGGGACAGATGGTCTAAAGAGAACTAATAAGTTCTCCCAATAATAGTTCCAGCTGATCTGGGACTCTTCAAAATCCCTCAAGACTGCTATGGGGAGATAGAACGGTGTTGATTTTCCATTTAGAACATATAGCCAAGGAAACTGGTGGCACTGACACACACATTAGTTTATTGTTTGTTCTTCTGAATTCACAACACCTCTTGTCCCAGCTCTCATCCTTGATAAGCCTGTGGGTTTGTGATCTCTATCTCGCAGGTGGGGCAGAAGAAGCTGGAGGATCCTTTCATCTTTGCCTCTGTCCGAATCCTTGCTGCCTGGCTGGCCGAAGAGACCTCTTCTCTCAAGCAGGAGATCTGTGAGCTCCTGCCTTTCCTCATCCGTTACGCCAAGATGCAATTTGACGAGGAGAGGAGAAGCAGGAGCGGTCTTCAGCACGATATGGATCAGGCTGGGCAAGGCACGGCACAGGAACCCATTTGGCGTGGAGATGCTCTGAGGTCAGTTACACAGAACTGGCTTGTTTTGCAACTTTAAAGAACTTATGTTTGCAGTCTGAGCCATTTTGTTAGCTCTCAGTTTGGAGTACTGAAACAGAACATGCTTAAAATTAAGTCGAGAGTCAGAAAGAACTTGTTTAAATTTATTTTCTTTTTTTGGCTTAGGGTCATTAGAATCATAGAATCCTAGAGTTGGACAAGACCTCATGGGCCAACCAGTCCAACCCCATTCTGCCAAGTAGCAGAAAAATCACATTCAAGCACCCCTGACAGATGGCCATCCAGCCTCTGTTTAAAAGCCTCCAAAGAAGGAGCTGCCACCACACTCCAGGGCAGAGAGTTCCACTGCTGAACAGCTCTTCATTATAGTCAGGAAGTTTTTCCTCGTGTTCAGGTGGAATCTCCTTTCGTTCCTGTAGTTTGGAGTCATTGCTCTGCATCCTAGTCTCAGGACAGCAGAAAACAAGCCTGCTCCCTCTTCCCTATGACTTCCCCTCACATCTTTATCCATGGCCCTTATCGTGGTTCCTCTCAACCTTCTCTTCTTCAGGCTCAACATTTCCAGCTCTTGAAGCCGCTCCTCATAGGGCTTGTTCTCCAGACCCTTGATCATTTTAGTTGCCCTCCACTGGACACATTCCAGCTTGTCAACCTCTCCTTTCAATTGTGGTGCCCAGAATTGGACACAGTGTGATTTCAGGTGTTTTCTGACCAAGGCAGATTAGAGGAGTAGCATGAATTCCTGGATCGAGACAATAGACTCCTATTTATGCAGACCAAAATCTCACTGGCTGTTTTAGCCACCACATGACATTGTTGGCTCATGTTTAACTTGTTGTCCACGAGGACTCCAAGATCTTTTTTACATGTAATGCTCTCAACCCAGTTGTCCACCATTCTGTATCTTTGCATTTCATTTTTTCTCCCTAAGTGGAGTATCTTGCATTTGTCACTGTTGAACTTCATTTTGTTAGTTTTAGCCAGTCTTCTCTCTAATCTGTTAATACCATTTTGAATTCTGCTCCTGTCTTCTGAGATACTGGCTTTCCCTCCCAATTTGGTGTCATCTGCAAACTTGGTGATCATGCCTTCTAGCCCTTCATCTAAGTCATTAATAAAGATGTTGAATAGAACCGGACCCAGGACGGAACCCTTTGTGGGGCCTTGTGGAAGTCACTGCTTGGCTGTAAGCTGTATTGCAGTGGGAGGAATTGGCAAAATTGCCATTGTGTTTTTCTTGTCTAAGAACACGCTATGTAAGTCATGAAGTTGCCATAAGTCTCCAAGCGACTTGACAACATGTAGACAACACAAATCTGGTAAAACCTACGCACTGCTGCCTCTTTTGGAACCTTCTTTGAACTCTTAACATCAGCTCACTTTCTGAAGCATGAGTGCGGAGTTTCTCCTTTTTGCTGCCTTGAGTGGGGTTTCAGAGAGGTCACCAAAAACACATTTCTGATGGTCTTCGGAACTTGTTTGGCAGAGAAGGCTGAAGATCATTCCACCTGTCCTTCTCCTTTTCAGGAACAGACCACAAATTCTCCCACCGAAAGCCCTCCTTCGCTGTGATTGTAGGTGAACTATAAATCCCAACTACAACTCCCAAATGTCAAGGTCTTGTTCATTTGTTCAGTCATTTCTGACTCTTCGTGACCTCATGGACCAGCCCACGCCAGAGATCCCTGTCGGCTGTCACCACCCCAAGCTCCTTCAAGGTCAATCCAGTCACTTCAAGGATGCCATCCATCCATCTTGCCCTTGGTCGGCCCCTCTTCCTTTTTCCTTCCATTTTCCCGAGCATAATTGTCTTCTCTAAGCTTTTCTTTCTTCTCATGATGTGGCCAAAATACCTCATCTTTGCCTCTACTATCTTTCCATCCAATGAGCAGTTGGGCTTTATTTTCTGAAGTATGGACTGGTTGGATCTTCTGGCGTCAAGGTCTATTACCCCCAAACTCCACCAGTGTTCACGTTTGAGCATATTGAGTATTTGTGCCAAGTTTGGTCCCAATCCATCATTGTTTGAGTCCACAGTGCTCTCTGGATGTAAGTGAACCACAACTCCCAAATTCAAGGTCAATGCCTACCAAACTCTTCCAGTGTTTGCTTTTGGTCATGAGAGTCATGTGTGGGACGTTTGGTTCAATTCCATTGTTGGTGGAGTTCAAAATGCTCTTTGATTGTAGGTGAACTATAAATCCCAGCAATTACAACTCCCAAATGACAAAATCAACCCAGTATTCCAATTTGGGCATATCAGGTATTTGTGCCAAATTTGGTCCAGTGAATAAAAATACATCCTGCATATCAGATATTTACATTACGATCCATAATAGCAGAATTACAGTTATGAAGTAGCAACGAAAATAATTTATCATTGAGGGTCACCACAACATGAGGATCTGTATTAAGGGGTCGAGGCATTAGGAAGGTTGAGAAACACTGTCCTAGTCAGTGGGGACACTGCAGCACCTGTGGTCCACAATTGGCCTTGGAAGACCAGAATTGCAGCCATTGAATACTGATACACTCCACCCATATAGGCAACCAAGAAGCATATGCAGTCAGTTGTGGGCTAACTGCTAGGCTAACTAATTTTCTAGGCTAGCTCAGATCAGAATGCCTAACTCCAAACAAGCCCTCCCTTGGATTAATCTGGTAACTGAAGTCAATACTTCCTCTGTTGCCTCTGTTTAGTGCTGCCTGTGTTATTCCATCCCAGCTTTTGGGCTTGGACCTAAATGCCTTCTGCAGCAATCCAACGGTTTAATGATACACCTTCAGCAGTACCGCCTTCTCCTCCTCCACTCAGTACCAGGAGGCTGCCTGGGATACATTTATTACTTACCAGCCCTCTCAGGTTGAGCCGCTGTTATGAACTGCTCGGTTCACAAGTATTATGCAGCAGATTTATTTATTTATTTTTTGCCATGTGGGAGCAGCGTTTTTGGAGAGGCGTTTAAATGTAGCACAAAAGGTTCCCAGCTGAGTCATCTACATTCATTGTGGACCTTTTTGCAATCTCCTTGGAGCTGAATTGTATTAAGAGCTTGGGGCGTGGAAAAACCACAGCCTACACTGACTCCTGCAGTTCAGTGCTGCTATTAGATATACTTTCTCCAGCTTTCTGTTGTTACGCCGTAGTTGGAGGTGCTTCAATCTCTCGGTTACCATGCTGGGTTTGGTTGGATATTTGAGCAATTTAGGCACTGTGGGAATAAACGGATTGGCAACCCACCTTGCTTTTAAGTACGCAGAGCTGTTCACCAGTTGACTTTGCCTCCTCTTTCACTCCAAGCTGAAGGTTCCTGCAGTGCCTTGTTTGCAGGCTCCTGTATGAATGAGTTGTTAAATCCCCCCTTAATTTATTCCCAGTACCTTCTTTTCTCATTCCAGGTTCCTGCTGCCTGGCTTAAGCCACTTGACTGCAGAGGATCGGCCCCGTGAGATCCTTATTTCAGAGGGTGCCCCCATTCTGTTGTGCCAGTATTTCCTGCACCGCTGGGAGACATTTGTTTTGAACTCCGAAACAGTGTCTGCATCCAAAGCTGTGGAATCTAGTCTGCAAACGTCCTGTGAAATTTTCCTGAATTTTGTCGTCACTGCTCCAGATTTGATCAGGTAAATGGGAGCAAATGGAATGTGGATAAGCAATTCTTCCATGTGGTCTGCAGGAGAAAGTCTGGTTTGGCTATTTGAGTGGAAGTCGCAAGTACCAGGAGCTACTCTAGAAGTTTCTACTCCCTGTGTGTCATTCAAAGTCCACCTAATCTGTGTGGGATTCACTTGGGACTTAAGAGCAGCCAATGGGTCTTCTGTTTGTTCTGCCAGAGTCCTGTAGCCCTTGAATATAATAATAATAATAATAATAATAATAATAATAATAATAATAATAATCTTTATACCCCGCCACCATCTCCCCCAACAGGGACTCGGAGTGGCTTACATGGGGCCAAGCCCGAACAACAAATTACAATACAAAAATACAAATTACCTCTTTCTCTGTAGCAGCCACCAGATGATGAACTGTTCTTCTCTGAAAGATCTGGCCCTCCTTTCTCCACAATTCATTTGCCCAAAACAGCTTTGAGGGAATCTGCAAGTTAAAAGTGTGCTATAATACATTACAACCCATATAAGCAAATTAAAGGCATATTATAGGTTGTAATGTATTATAGCAGACAATAATTTTTCAACATGTGCCATTTCGGATATGTATAGTAAATGGTTTTAGGTGCTTGGTGTCAGAAATATTTAAAATAAACTAGGTATTTTTGATTACAAAAATGTGAGTCAAGCACTGAGAGAGTAAGTAGGCCAAAGCCTGTTAAGAGTCAGTGGGCCAAAGCTAGTGTCGACGCCTACTCACTCTAACAGGAAGAGTTATAATTATATAATAAATAATATTATATATTCTATTATATAATATATTATAAAATTATATATATATTATATATAAATAGAATATATATTATTTTATTGTATAATAAATAATATAATGTAATGCAATATAATAATAATATATAATTATATATTTATATTACATGTAATATTACTAATAATATTACATTATAGTGGTATGGTGCAATATAGCAATGTTTAATGCTGATATTGTACTATGCTAATAATATAATATATTGTATGCAATATATACCTTGTAAGCCACCCTGAATCCCCTTCAAGTTGAGAAGGGCGGCATATAAATGTCGTAAGTAAATAAATAAATAAATAAATAAATTAGTGGACCAAAGTGTCATTCTGAGGAGTGTGAGGTAAACCTCTGTGTGAGAGAAGCCTCGTGTGAGAAAGCTCCAGTGTGAAGGCTGCTGTGTGTAAAGCTACTTTGTGTTTGTTTATTTGTGTTATGGAAACCTTGTTCTTGTAAGTAGTGTAACCATATTATTTTACGCCAAAGAAAAGCCTCTTATGGAAGAGATAACGTTGGTCTGTGTGTTTTTGCTCTTTTTATCACTTTAGTCTACAGGTGCTGGGTCACGCTACTGCTGATAAGTTATTCTGCTGTACATTTATGAGGAGAGTCTTTTGTTAATAAGCCCACTCACCCAACACTTGGGTTTTTCTCAGCCCTGCTTTTCTGTAAATTGGTAGCTACTCTTTGCAATTATAAATCAAGTACTATGATTGTCATCTATTGAGAATTAAGAACAAATATCCAAATTTGTTTTAGTCACATGTTTAGTGTTATGTGCTAAGCAAAACTTCATATTAGAAAACCTAGATTTGAATTTCCACTCAGCCCAAAGGGAGGCTTGTCCTATAGCAAAGCTGCCTCCTCCCCTTCCCTGTGCCTAACGTTGTCCCTTTTGCCACCTCATTTTCCATAATTTGAGCAGTTTGTCTGAAGGTTGGGAAAAAAAGTCTACCTCAAAAGACACCTCCTGTTTTGCCCTTTCCTTCCCTCAGCCGAGAAGATTGCTTCGCCGCCTTGATGGACACCTTGCTGAAGTCGCTGCCTTTGCTGCTGCCGCAGAGAGAACATCTGAGCCTGACAGCTAACGTGACAACGCTGGGGCTCATGATGGCCAAAAGGCTGTTTGCTTATCCAGGCAAGAAAGAGTTTAGTCATTTCCAGTTGACAAGTGTGAAGGAAGAGCAAGCAGGAAGCTCCCCGAGCAACGGTAGCCTCATTCTTGCTGGTAGTGGTGGCGCTGCGAGTGGGCTGTGCTCGCATGGCTGCGAGTGGGTGCTCACATGATTGGATGCTCACTCCCATTTTTTTTATTTATATCACTTTTTTCATACATATGGTTAGGACACAACAGTAAGGAGTTGTACCCTACCCTTCTCTCTGAGGTGGTAGCTCTTTTTTTGGTACGGAGGAGAGACTAGAGAAGGATATATAGCTCTCTCTTGTCCTGGGAAGAAGATGTGATACAATCCAGTAGAGCTTTGCCCCTTCATGGGCTGATAAGTGATGCTCATTATAATCTCACTATAACATTATTATAGGCTATTGTTGTCATTCCCAAATTGTCTGACACAGTATTCTCCTTCAATTGGAAACTGGAGCCCCTTCCACACAGCTAAATAAAATCCCACATTATCTGCTTTGAACTGGAATATATGTCAGCGTGGATTCAGATAACCCAGTTCAAAGCAGATATTGTGGCTTCCCTGCCTTGATATTCTGGGTTATATGGCGGTGTGGAAGGGCCTGAGATTTTTGTCATCTGGTGTGTGGAAGATCAAGAGACGTATCACGAAAGACCCCTGCCCCAAGGATTGGGAATAGATGGCCCAGCAGACTTGGTAGCTAGTGGTGTGGGAGGCTGGGTGTTGTAGTCCAGCAACTTCCGGAGGCCACTTCTTTTCTGTCCCTTTGAGCCAGCGCTCTTCCTTTTCGCTATATGAAACTCACAGAAGGAAAGAGAACCTATAATCCTCTCAGGCCCCTTCTACACTGCCATATAAAACCCAGCATAGACTGATATAATCCACTTCAAACCAGATAATGTGAATTTATTTATTTATTTACAGCTTTTATATTTTGCCCTTCTCACCCCGCAGGGGACTCAGGGCAGATTACAGTGTACACATATATGGCAAACATTCAATGCCAATTCTGACGTACAACATATACAGACAGACAGAGGCTATTTAACTTTTTTTCTGGCCGCCAGGGGAGCTGTTGCTTTCATCGTCCATCTGCGACACTGATGAAGTACTTCCGCATTCCCCGCATGCTTTTGCTAAAGTCTTTATGGCCTCATAAATCAGTTAATTTAGCCTCCCCACACTTTAAGGTGGTACCTTATTTTCCTACTTGACAGATGCAACTGTCTTTCGGGTTGCAAAGGTCGACAACGAGCTACACAATTGGTTGGAAACCCACTTCAACCCGGGCTGGCTTTGAACTCATGACCTTTTGGTCAGAGTGATCTTAATGCAGCTGACACTCAGCCAGCTGCGCCACAATCCCGGTGCTTTGATAAACCGGATTATATGGCAGTGTAGAAGGGGCCTCAGGTTTCCCAGTGTATCACTCTACCCAGCATTTGTCCCAAAGCCCACGCCATCATCCAAGTGGATTTGATGGGGTCACTCATTTTTGGGGACACTCATTCATGTTTGTACCTTGCTTTTCCTCTGAATTGCTCTGGGTGTGATATATTTGGGCTTTTGAAAGGCAGATTAAAATTATTTTTGCCCTGGAAGCATTTCCAAAAGCAAATCATTGATCGGCATGTGTATAGGCTCCTCCTATGGGAGAACCTGGCTTTGTACTGCAGTGAAATGAATTTGGCAAGAAGGAATGGGATCAGAGAGTTGGAAGAGACCATCCAGTCCAACCTCCATCATACACTATCAGGGCTCTCCCAACAGATGAGCATTCATCCTCTGTTTATACACCTCCACCACATTCCTTATTTGGGGTTTTTTTTAGTCTGGAACTTGAGTCTCTTCCTGCCATTGACAGTATTGTGGAATGAGTAGCTTCAAGGTGAGAATATTCCTGGGAAGAGGTAAGGTTTAGCCTGAAATTACAGGGTTGGAAGAGACCCCAAGGGCCTTTCAATGGAGTAATTCACAGTCAAAGCCCTCTGAGCAGATGGCCATCTAGCCTCTGTTTAAAACCCTACAAATATTAGGGAAAACTATCCTAAAATTAGCGGAGCATCCAAAAAACATAAACAGGATACAAAAGTTAGAGCATTAGTGAGCAGAGTGTGAAGTGCAGTGTGATGTTCTGCACATAATTCAGAGCTTAGGAGGCAAACATGTAGAGTCCAATCTTTAAAAAAAACACAAAAGGTTTATTTACAATAATAAGAAATAACTGCATTTCTTAATAATCAAGAACTGGGCCCGAGCTACTCTAACACCCATCTCTTCTAAGGTTTCAAACAGGGGGAAAACACCAGTCACTCCATCTCTCTGACACACACGCAGAGAGAGATCTCAAAGCACACAGCACATCCTCTCCATACTAAAGTGTAAGAATGCAGAAGTCAGATTCTAAAAAGCTTGCAATAGAAAAGCATCCATTTTAAACAACTAATCAAAATGAGAGCAGAAAGAGAGAAGAAAAAGATAAATTCCCAACTACATTCCCAACTGTCATACAGGAGAATGGGAGAAGGGAAACCCTCAGACTATTCTAATGCTGACTAACTTCTCCTTGTTGAGGACTTAATACTTGGGCAGTGAGGGGTTGAATTCCAACATAAGGAAACTCCACTACATTCCTTTGGAGGTTTTTGAGCCCAGAGCTTGAGTTTCTTCTTGCCATTGACAGTATTGCAGGGTGAGTAGCATTAAACATTGATATTCCTGAGAAGAAGTAAGGCTTAGCCTGTAATTCTAGAATTACAGGGTTGGAAAAGACCCCAATGGTCATCTGATCCTACCCCGTGCTATACACGGGGAAAAAACTTGGATTTCCCAAACAGGAAAGCTGAGAGAGTTGTGCGAAGAAAGGGAGAAAAAAAGATGTCCCTGATTTTTTTTTCATGTCAGGAACAACTTGAGAAACTGCAAGTTGCTTCTGGTATGAGAGAATTGGCAGTCTGCAAGGACGTTGGCCAGGGGATGCCTGGATGTTTTACCATCCTGTGAGAGGCTTCTCCCATGTCTCTGCATGGGAAGCTGGAGCTGACAGATGGGAGCTCACCCCACTTCCCAGATTCGAACCTCCTACCTTTCGGTCAGCAGTTCTGCCGGTACAAGGGTTTAACCCATTGCGCCACCGGAGGCTCCTGTCTTTGAAGTGACATTGAGTAAAGCAGACATTGTCTAACACTATCCTCTTTCTCGTTCCCAGGTCTCCAGGGCACCCCAGAAGCAGAGGGTTTCTTCGTGGCCGCCATCCGCTTCCTGGCCGATGCTTATGTGGCCCAGAAGGGCCCTGATGGAGAGGTGGTGACCCTGGGCGTGGCCCCAACCTACAAGGCGGCCTGGCCAGTGGTGCGGGAGCTTTGGTTCCTGAGCATGCAGGCCTTCGCCAGCTGTGTGCCCCTCTTCCTGTGGCTGCCCCAAGATGTCCTGCGCTCCGGCTGGCTGCAGGAGCTGCTGGCCACACTGGGCCGCGTGGTCCCCAAGTCGGTGGAGATGGAAGTGGTCCGGGCCTACCAGGGCATCTTGGTGGAGCTGGCCCGGGCCAGCCAGCCCTGCCTGGAGATGATCCAGCAGCACCAGGGCCTGGAGCTAGCCAGCCTTTATGGCATGGCGGCCTTGGAGCAGTGCCTCTCGGAGCAGTGAGCCCGTCGGGGGCATGCGTGCGTGGTGGTAGGAGAAAAAGGAAATAATCGTGTTTTCCCTGAAGCAGTTTGACCATTCTGTTTCATGCAGGTGGATGTTCTGTCATCGGTAGGGCATGAGAAATGGCAGGCCTCTCTCCTTCCCAGATGGCTGCGCAAAGTTATAAAACGCGACGTGATCTCGGTTATATATTCACTTACTTACCTAACTTATTTATTTATTTATTTGTTCTGCTTTCTGTTGCCGTGCCACCTCTCCGAGCAGAAAAAAAAAGCCCTCTCCAGGGCAGCTCACATAGGCACCACGTTACAACCAAGTTTAAAAAAAAATTAAAAGAGCAGCGTAGAACAAAATCAAGACCAGCAATCCACAGTTTAAAAAGATGATGAATTCCGTCCCAACATCATGAATTAAAATACCAAAAAAGGTCTCAGAGATCTGTTTAAATGATAATCATCCTAATACTAATCCTAAAGAGGAGGCCAGGAGTATGTCTGTGGCTGGGAGTTCCACAAAGAGGGGACCACCACTCAAAAGTCCAATGATGTTGTCTTAACTGCATGTTTCCTAGCTCTCTGTGATAATCGTAGAGTAACCTGAAGCAAAAGTCTTTACCTGCTGGCAGTCACACAACCGCACAATGTATGCCAATGCACGCCAGTGCTGCTCAGTCAGCTCGAATGCACTGTGACGGAAGCTCGTTTTGCTCTGGAGAGGAAGGAAGCGGGTACGAGAGGGGCTCTGGCAGCCTCCTTGTGCTTTGGGAGGGAAGGAGGGAGAGGGGATTTGCTCTCTCTGTCCCCACGATGGTTCCCCAAGTGTCCTTTGTTAGCCTTGCCCTGAAACCACCAAAGGGCACCATGGGCCACTCTCAGGCCATCCAGTCATTGGTTGCCTCAGGACTTTCGACGTTGTCGAAGCTCTTTTCTTGAGGATGCCAAGATAATTTTTTGCTCTTGCTCATTTAATTCTGATGATTTATAAGCAACCTTTTAAGGATTCAGGATTCTTCCAAGGCAGCTTATGGTTGAACTCTAAACTACCAAATAATAATAAAATGGTTTAATATGACATCAGCCAAAGCAGCTGGTGTCCGTTCGCGCGTTTTGATTTGGGTTGCTCATAAAACAAATGTAGACCCCGCTTTTGAAGCCAAAAACAAATGAATCATCCACCCAAGTGGCCTACAAATTTTTTAAAAAGGAAATGAGAAACTATTTAAATAGAAGTAAAAACCAATCCAAAAACAAAAACCAGCGGGGAAGGGGAAGGGCAGTCTAGACGGAGGAGGCCTCACCTTTCTCTCCGATTGGCCTTCCCCTTCCAACCGGGCGGTTAGTGGTAGGTGGCCCTGTGCAGGAAGAGTACAAGATGTGGCAACAACAAGAGCAGGGAGAAGGGATTCCCTTCGAATCAGCCGCTGTTTGCTGGAAAAGAGATGTTTTCCTGGGCCACATAGTATTAACAGTGGGATCTAAACTCTCCGGACTGTGAACGCTTGCTTGTTTTGGCTTCTCTGTATTTGTTCAGCATGGAGGCTCCTGCATGCAGCCGCTCAATATTATGTTCCTGAACCTGGGGCAGGATCAGCTCCTGGACCTCAGGCCATGGCTCATTCTCCTGGTGTTTTTGGTTCAGTAAATAAATGTTTTGTCTTGTAATCCAAAGTCTGGTTTCATTTGATGCGCGTCTCTCCTTTGCCACTCAGACTTTTCCACTTGGAACGGAGACCTCAAAGAAAGTAGCCTTATAATTTATTTACAGAGCCCCATTGGTGGATATAAAAAGTAAAGGTTTCCCCTGACATTAAGTCTAGTTGTATCCGACTCTGGGTGTTGGTGCTCATCTCCATTTCTAAGCTGAGGAGCTGTCCTTGTCCGTAGACATCTCCAAGGTCATGTGGCTGGCATGACTGCATGGAGCACTGTTACCTTCCTGCAGAAGCGATACCTATTGATCTTCTCACATTTGCATGAATTCAAACTGTTAGGTTGGCAGAAGCTGGGCCTAACAGCAGGAGCTCATTCTGCTCCCAAGATTCAAGCTATCGACCTTTTGGTCACCAATTTCAGCAGCTCAGTGGTTTAACCCACTGCGCCACCAGGCTCATTGGTGGATATAGTGCTCTATAAATAATAAGAAGATGACTTTATTTATATTCTGCCCTATCTCCCCAAAGAGTAGCAGGAATGTGCATAATCTTTACATACACGTGCACACAAATGAGAAGGAAGGAGTAAGGCAAATGTAAACTGCAATAGCCATTTCATATCCCAACAGGGTAGAAATAAATAGAATAATACAGTCATAAAGCAGTTCAACGGAAAACATTATTTTCCAAAGTTTTTGGGAGTTTTGGTTTAATATTATTTCATACCATGTAGTTAAATATGCATTATAAACAAAGAAAAATGAGAAATACATAACATCTCAAAGTATTGGATGCCTTCTGGCCAAGTAAGGACTCAAGCCCTGATCTTCAGTCATGACCCAAGCCTCAAACCGCTGCTTCATAGTGGGCCTCCATCTTAATATACAAGATAATGAAACCATGTTAAACCAAATCTCCAAAAGCTTTGGAAAACACTTAAATTGGGAAGTAACAATCCACAAACATTTGGGGAGGCAATTCCAAGCAGTGAGGAGAAAAGACTAAGTGGAAACCCCTTGGTTGAATGAGAAGACAGGAATTAGTAGAATAGAGATCCTAAGCAAGATAGTAAAAAGAAATGATAGGTGAAGGCTACATCCTAGTTAGGTCATGCAGGACTTTAAAAGTGAATGCAAAATGCTTGTGCTGTATCCTAGAAGGAATAAGGTCTATTGCAGGGAGGAAAACAAACAAACAAGGATGATTCTGGTGCTTTTAAGACTAACCGTTTTCCTTTGGTTTCGGGTTTTGTGGACAGAAGCCCATTTCATCAGATGCACATTGCTGCATCCTTGGCAAGTGTTTCTGTGCATGCTGGGAGTGAGGGAGTGCAGGAATGAGGTGGCAACAGGTGCCAGCAGATGACCCATTTGAGGAGCCATGGGGAGGGAGCAAGGTTGCCCTGGCAGAAATAAGATGAAGATGGATACAGTGATAGAATAGCCTTAGTCTAGGAGAAGAGATAAAAGAGATTAACTCCTCAGCAGGACTTGAGAAACTAAAGATGAGAAATTGCCAAGCAGAAAAAATGGATTTTAACACTGGTCAGAAAATGTGATACAGACATATTTGGGTTCAACTACAAGATATTTCACTGCGTAGGTAAGCAACTCTGGATTAAAGGGCTGCCGTGAAAACAATGGCCTGCTGGCACATATTGCCATTGCCATCAATACATAAATACTGTGTGTATTATGGGCCACACTGGTCCAAAAGCCAATGATCATAGGAGAGTTTCCATAAAAGAAAATTATGGTTTAATCCACTGGGCATGGATACGGCTTTGTTCTCTGGCACATGAGAAGATAACCTGCAGGTCCATCGCATTGGATCGATGAAGGCACACTGGGTACAGGAACAGATGGTCCTGGAACAAACCAAAGGGAAAGCAAACCTGCATTTAATCCAAACTGGTGTATTCTTGAGCAAGGTGCAATGTGTTGCACTCCAAGCCTGGGAATCACCTCTGTGGTTAACACACAGTCCAGTCCAAGGTAAAATAGCAAAGCAGTTTATTGAAGAATATATGAAAAGCAATTCAGCAAAATAGTATGAGAAACCAAAGTACAAATAGCAAGATAAATCCACAGAAATCAAAATATATCAGTAGCATCAAAAAACAGGAATACAAAAGGAGAATAAATCCCAAACATGAGATTCAGGAACGGTCCTCAAAAACTTGGAAACATGAACAAAAAGGAAACATGGAACAAGAAATCCCTTAAGTTCTATACTCAAACACCAACTTTGTCTCAACTGGCGGTCTAGCTAATAAAGACAGAAAATCATGCCTTCTCTCCAGGGAAACTGAGAAGAACTTCTTGGCTAATAGGTGTCTTGACCTTCATAAGTTCTGAGAAGCCGTGTGTCTGCCTGGAAGAAAGGAAGGAAGGAAGGAAGGGGCTTGGATTAGATGTCTTTTGGGGTTCCCTTCCCACTTTGGGACTCTAGGATGGAATAAGCAGGAGTGGGATGGCCCTCTACCAGGACAGACTTGGGTGGTGCTTTATCTGCCTGGAAGAAGAGGTTGGGCTGGATGGCCTTTGGGGTTCCCTTCCTTCACTTGGGACTCTCTGATGCCACTGGTGCCAGGGACGGGGTTTTCCCAGGATCCTCCCATTTTTTAAAAGGGTGGGGTCTTGGGGATTCCCTTCTGGGGGTCTCCTCACCTCGGAGTCCGCGAGGGGCCCTCTGGGAAGGGCGCAGCCCCCCAATACTCCTGATGCTCATGCTCCGGTCCCATTCCAAGCGGAGGAGGCGGTGGCAGGGTCAGGGCTCTGGCACAGCGAATCGTTGAAGGGCTGGGAAGGCTCCATCACCCCTCAACATGGAGACCCCAGCCCTTAGGAAAAAGGGAAGGAAGGAAGCCCCCCTCTTAGCTCTGCCTCCACTGCCTCTGCCTGTTTCTGACCTTGCTTCCCTAGCGAACTGCCTTTCTGGAATGTGGCCTTCAGACAGAGACCGCTCATTTTCAGGGCTTAAAATCTCTTGCTGGTTCTCCTGCTGACTTGCAGACCCAGAATCCCTAGTGTCATCAGGCTGACTAACAGACCTAGAATCCTCAGAGAGATCAGGTGCATAGAATCATAGAATCAAAGAGTTGGAAGAGACCTCATGGGCCATCCAGTCCAACCCCCTGTCAAGAAGCAGGAATATTGCATTCAAATCACCCCTGACAGATGGCCATCCAGCCTCACAATCAAAGACTGGATTACAACACAAGGAGTCAACAATGCCATCATTTTTGTATGAAAATGACATATTGTTATGGAAATCCAACCCAATCACATCAAAATAATAATTATTATAGATTTATTTATGTATTACCCACCCCACCTTTTGGCTCAGAGTAGGGCACAACATTGTCAAATACATCTATAAAATCACATATTAAAATGCAATCATAAAAGCATATATTAAAACAAACAAAACACCTGAGACAAGACACAGAAGAGAATCATCGCTGAGCCTGGAACCCCAGGTTTCAGCGGTGACCAGGGGAGCATTTGCACAGCTAAAGCTTGTGCGCCAGCTGCGCCCGTACCTTGGGAAGTCTGACTTGGCCACGGTAGTCCACGCTCTGGTTACATCCCGTTTAGACTACTGCAACGCTCTCTACGTGGGGTTGCCTTTGAAGACAGCTCGGAAGCTCCAACTAGTCCAACGCTCGGCAGCCATGATTTTAACAGGAGCGGAGCGCAGGGAGCATACAACCCCCCTGTTGCGCCAACTCCACTGGCTACCGATCTGCTACCGGGCTGAATTCAAAGTGCTGGCGTTGGCCTTTAAAGCCCTAAACGGTTCCGGCCCAAGCTACCTATCTGACCGCATCTCTGCCTACGAACCCACCAGGACTTTGAGATCTTCCGGGGAAGCCCTGCTCTCGATCCCGCCAGCTTCTCAAGCACGGCTGGCGGGGACGAGAGATAGGGCCTTCTCGGTGGTGGCTCCTCGGCTGTGGAACGCCCTTCCTACGGACATTAGACTAGCACCATCTCTAATGGTATTCCGCAAAAAGGTGAAGACATGGATGTTTGTGCAGGCGTTTGAGTAATTTAGTGCAATCTGGTAATGGAACATAGGAATGGAACAATGGACGACGAACCTGGACTACGCTTGGATGATGAGAAGATTGGGTACGGTTGTTTTTTGTAATAATTGTGCATTGTAATTGCTTATTGGTAATTTATGGATAATGTGTTAAGTCAATTGTTATATGTTGTATGGAACCACTGCTGTTTCTACTGTTTTTACTGTTTGTGAACCGCTGTGAGTCGCCTTCGGGCTTGAGATACAGCGGTATATAAGCAAGGTAAATAATAATAATAATAAGAATAATAATCATAATCATAATAATAATAATATAAAAGAAAAAAAGGATCAGATGAAAGGAAAGCATACATCTAGAACTGTGGTTTAGAAAAATGACAAGAATGTGTGACAAAGGCAACAATATTAATTCTGATGGCAGTAGGTCCATTGGAGCAGTGAACTCATCTATATATATAAAATCCAAAAGGGCGTCGTTAGGGGGTGCAAAACGCGAAAAATCCCGGACGAAAAATCACCAAACTTGGCGTACCCATACCTCAAACCACAAGGTATGCAGAACACTCATCACAACTCAAAAAAACATAACAAACTCACAATTACACAACCAAACGGAGCATGCGCAGAGGAGTCCCGGCGCAAGTCGCCCAACGCACGCCCATGGCCGCACCACGCCCCCTCTGCGCAAGCCATGCCCCTCCCATCGCCGCCCCGCCCCTTCCCCCATGCCAAACCGAGTGCGGCCTAGGTGCCGACGCTAAAGCCCCGGCCTGGGAGTGGGAGCTCGCCCGCCTGTGCGCGCTGGGGCCCAGCCTGGTGGACGTGCGGCGCGGGGGCCTGTCCACCTTCCACGGCCCCGGACAGCTGGTGGCCTTCCCGGGGCTGGACCAGCGGAGGCTGCCCGAGAGGCCCCCGCTGCTCGCCTTCGTGGCCCGCCCCGGAAAGGCCGCCACCCGCCTC